AAAAGAGTAACTTGGGTACACAAATGTGAAGGTAATTACTACTACTATTACCACTACCACTATTTCCACTATTGTGGCCACTACTACTACTACTACTTAATAAATGCTTATTAATAGAAAGAATTTTCAATGAAAAAAGAGTAACTTGGGCACACAAATGTGAAGGTAATTACTACTAGGACTACTATTTCTACTATTGCTGCTACTACTACTACTACTATTACTACCACAGCTACTACGTAATAAATGCTTATTAATGGAATTTTAAATGAAAAAAGAGTAACTCTATTCTACTAAGATAAAGGCGGGCTGCGATCTGCATGGGTGACTGCCATTCCCACACCACGGGATCTGTCTAGTGATAAGATCCTCCAGAGATACAGATTCATGGCTTACGAAGTGCTTAATAATAATAATAATGAAAACAGAGCAATAATAACTAGTATCTACATAGCTCTTCACAAATGTGTTTGATCTTCACAACAACCCTGGGAGGTAGGGGCTATACTACCCCCATTTTACAGATGAGGAAACTGAGGCCAAAAGAGGCGAAGGGACTTTTTTACCTTCGGGATGTTGGCTAAGTCCCTTCACCTCCGTGGGCCTCGACTTCCTCATCTGTACAACGAGGTGGTTGGATTCAGTGGCCTCCAAGGTTCCTTTCAGCTCTAGACCTGTGACCGATCCTATGATCTCTCTCTGGGCTTCCGTTTCTTCACATCTAAAAAGAAGGAGGGGGTGGAGTCGATGGCGTCTGAGCCTGGGATGCCAAGACCAGCACACCGCCCGTTGTACCACTGATGGCCACGAGGGGCGCCACAGTACACAGGGCCCTGTGAGCCTGGAGTCAGGAAGACCTGAATTCCAATCCAGATTCAGACATTCATTAGCTGTGCGACCCAGAGCAGGTCATTTAACTACTGTCTGCCTCAGTTTCCCCACAGGTAAAGTGGGGATAAAAACAGCACCTATCTCCCTGGGTTGCTGTGAGGGTCAAATGAGTAATATGCGTAAAGAGCCGAGCATAATGCCCAACACATGACGGGTACTATGTAAAAATTTTAGCTATTATTAATAAACATTTATTAAGCACCTACTATGTGCCAGGCACTGTGCTAAACACTGGGGATACAAAAATCAGCAAAAGATGGTCCCTACCCTCAAGGAGTTCGCAATCTAATGGGGAGACAATTCAATTCAACAAACATTTATTAAGCACCTACTAGGTGCCAGGCACTGGGGATACAAAAAGCGGCAAAAGACGGTCCCTGTCCTAAAGGTGCGTACAATCTAATGGGGGTGACAACATGCAAACAAATACATACAAAGCAAACCAGATACAAGATAAACAGGAAATAATTAACAGGGGAAAGGCATTGGTATTAGAGGGTTATCGACATAGCACCTTTGTAAGGCAGATAGTGCATACATGAATATTCCCATTTAACAGATGAGGAAACTGAGGCACAGATCACACAGCTAGTAAGCTGTGTCTCAAACTTGTGCCTTCTGCCTCAAGATTCAGCTCTCCTTCCACTCCATCCCTCTGCCTCTTAGGAAGACCCTTCCCTTTCCTGGAGGGCAAGGTGTCAGTAGAAATTCTGCTCCTCCCAGGAAGTATCTCTCCTGCCCCTTCTGTCCCCGAGCCCTCTGCTGGCAGCCAGTCATTGATCACCCTGCATGTTCATTGACCTGTCTCCTGTGTCTGACTTGTCTCCACATTCTGCCCTATATCCCTTCAGGGCTTGAAGGACACCCCCTATCCTTCCTTGTGTCTCCCCTCTGGGGCCTTGCTCATACAAGGCAGGCATCCAACAAATGTTTGTAAAGGAGGCAGATCCCTCCCCTGCCTCCCTCACAAAGGTTGAGGGGATCAAAAAGCAGAAAGGACAGAGTCCTTTGAAAGGGGAAATGCTCTGTGTGGATTCAGGGGCTTATTCCCTTCCAGGGTCTGACTGAGGCATGTTGGGTCCCCTGGGCTTTCAAAAGCTAGCCTAGGGAAAGATCTGCTTGGCCCCAGAGGTCAGAACTGGGAGCGATGGGTGGAAGTGGGAAGGGGGCCGACTGATTCTCCACCAACTCCAGAGCCACGTTGACAGCAGGAAAAGCTCCCCAACATTGAGAATCTTCACGGGTGGAATGGGAAATATTAGGTTCTCCCTCCCTCACTTCTTCCAGATGGATGAACACTTGGAGGGTATGCTGTAGTGGGGTTCCTCTTGGGGTATGGGTCTGACCCGATGGCCACTCTGGTCTCTTGAGACTTTGAAAAGCTTGCCTATATCAACTGGAGAGTTATCCTAAAGAACCCCCAGACCCCCGGGCACTGAAGAGGTCACCATAGGCCAGCAGGGACTCTTAAGGTAGGAACTTGTTTTAAAAGAATATTTTGGTAAATGTATGTCAATTGCAATTGGTTTCTTTGTAATCCCACGTGTTTTATGTATTTAAAAACGTTAATTCTGAGAAGGGATCCGTGGGTTCACCAGCTGCCAGAGGGTTCCGTAACCAACGAAGGTTAAGAACTCTCGACCTGGAGAGAGGATGCAGATGTGTGCGAGGTCTGGCAGGCCCCACTGAAGTGGGAAGGGCTTTGTGTCTGCCCCCACATGGAGGCCGGCTCCACAGTCTGTAGCTGGGTTTGGATCCTGGCTTTGCCGCTTACTATCTATGTGACTGTGGCAAAGTCACTTCCCTTTTCCTGGTCTCAGTTTCCTCATCTGGTAAATGATGGAGTTGACCTCTAAGGTCTTTTTCAGCACCAGATCCAGGATCTTATGATTAGCTATTGAACCTCCGTGGGCCTCGGTTTCTTCGTCTGTAAAATAAGGGGGTTGGATTCAGTGATCACCAATGGCCCTTTCAGCTCTAGACAGACAATCCTATGATGCTATGACCAGCCTAGCAGAGCCTGAAAAGGCTCCACCAGACAAAGAGGGATGATTTTGGACACAGAAGCTCCTGGGGACAGACCATCTACTGAGGTGTAAAGGGGTTAGGAGCTAAAACAATTCAAGGACTACCCATAGTGGTGAAATCAGGGCTCCTTGGAGGGTTCATATTATGTATGTCATATTGTGGGCAAGCAGGTAGCACAGGCGATAGTGGGGATAGAATTTAAACCTGGCCTCAGACACTTAACTAGCTGTGTGACCCTGGGCAAGTCACTTAACCCTGCTTGCCTCAGTTTCCTCATCTGTCAAATGAGCTGGAGAAGGAAATGGCAAATCACTCTACTATTTTTCGCCAAGGAAAACCCCAAACAGGGTCATGGAGAGTAGGACTGAAACGACCAAACAACAAAAGACATGAACATAGATCTAAAGTTTGGAGGGTCTCTGTTTCTCCCAGCAGAATGTAAACTTCTTGATGGTAGGGGACTGTTTCATTTTTGTCTCTTCATCCCCAGCACTTTGCACATAGTAGGTACTTAATAAATCTTGATAGACTGACTGTATTCAAGTTTGCCCCTCGCCCGCTCCTGTCGGCTCCTTGTGGGGCTGACTACAGGGACCATTTCATTCTTTTTTTCATTCTTTTTTCTTCTTTTTCATTCTTTTGAATTATATCGGGTATTCTTTTTAATTATATCAGAGTACAGAGTGCAGTGCCTAGCACACAGTAAGCGCTTAATAAATGCTTCTTGAAACAGAAGCTCTCCATCCTTTCAGCCTTTCCACTACTGTAAAGTGAGATATCTTGAGTCTCCTTAGCTTGGATGCAATTCCCTGTGAATTGAGGATGTTGGGGGAACTGGGGAAATAGAGGAAAAGTGGAAGCAGAGGAGAGAGATGCCCTCTCAGATAGAATGGGTGAGTTGGAAGGGACCTCAAGAGCCATCTATCAGTCCAACCTGCATACGAAAGGCATCTGTCTCCACTAAAATGGATTTGACCCTGGTTGTCCAGCCTCTCCTCGAAGACCCACCACCTCTCGGGGAAGCCCATTCCATTTTTTTTCCCGACGGTAAAATCAGATTCAACTCTTTGCAACATCTGGTTCTGCCTTGCAGTGCCAAGCAGAACAAGCCTGATCTCTCATCTATATGAGCCCTTCAGATACTTGATGATAGCTGTCTTGTCTCCCTGAGTTTTCTCTTCCCAAGTTAACATCTCCAGTTTCTTAACCCAATTTTCAGATGACATGAACCTTTACCATCCCAGTTCTCCTTTAAATCCTTTCTGCTCTATTAACATTTTTCTTAAATTGTGGTGCCTAGACCTGAACATAATACTCCAGACGCTCTGATCAGGGCAGAAGACAGTGGGACCATCACCACCTTTTCCTGGAAGCTTGGACCATTCCAATACAGCCCAAGATAGCACTAGCTTTGGGTTTCCAACCCTGGTGACTTGTATTGAGCTGACGGTGCACTATAACCCCCAGATTATTTTCCTCAGGGAATCCTTTAGGCAGAAAGCGATGGTACCTTTGGTCTTGAGAATCTCTGGATGTTTCTTCCACTGGACGTGGAGATCTTTCAGGGGTTGGCTGGTGGGGTCGAAAGCTTGTAGCTGCTGCAATCTATCTTCTAAGCTTCTTGCTGCCTCAAACACAGGCACAGGGTCTGAGGAGAAAGCAAACTGGTGAGCGGCTTGCCCAATTCCCACAACTCACCGCTCCCCCTATAGCTCCAACGGGGAGAGGCAGCCAGCCTAGTTTAATGGGGGAAAGCACAGGACTTGGGGTCGGATCCTGGTTCAAGCCCAGCCTCTGCCTCTTACTAGTGGTGTGACAAGAATAAGACACTTAACTGCTCCAAGTCTCAATTTCTCCTTAGTAACATGGAGATAATAAACCTCTGTCTTCAAGAGGCAACCTGATGTGATAGGAGTACTGGACTTAGCAGTCTGGATGTCTGGGTGTGAATTCTGTCCCCCAACACTGTGACCTTGGGCGACTCTCTCTCATCCAAGAGACTTTCAGCTCTCAAAGCCTCACCTTCCTCATCTGTAAAATGAGAACAACAAAATTTGTGCTATTTACCTCACAGGGCTGTTGCAAAAAAAGCATTATGTGCGCCTTAAAGCATTCTATAGGTGTATTATTAGTAACAGTTTAAAATTTTTCTCAAATAATATTTAATAATGCCATCATTAATTACTAATCATATTAATTAACCTATAAACAATGGTGTTCAATCTTTTTTGTTATTTATCACATTATTAAATAACATTAATTTATTAAATAATATTATTAATTGATAGCATTATTAATAGTATTAGGATCTCCCAGGACAAGGTTCCCGTGAAGAAAGAACTTTTTAAACTGTAAAGGACTACATATGGAATGGGAGAGTGGTCAATTAAAGCCAGTCCTCTAGAGCAAGAACCAGAATGCTTGGACTGATGCTGTCCCCTACACGGACGCTTGGTGAGCCTTTTCCAGGCATGTGTCATGGAGGGCATACACAAGCTTCTGCAGCTGGTTCCCGTCTGCTTACTGTCAGCTGAAGAGGGGCCTGTTAATTGGCTGCTGGGCCAGAAATGAGCGCGTGTACAAAAGTACGCTCATCTCTCTTTCTCATGGTGGTGAGTGAGGCAAAAATTGCTGTACGTCTCTGGGTGGGGAGAACACCAATGGCCTTGCTCTTCCTGTCCAGACGGAAATGAAGCCCCAAGGGAAAGGCCCCAGCTCAGCAACAGCTGAGAGCCAAGGTCCGGCAGCAAGGGATGGGCTTGTCCAGCAGCTAGATGACATTCCAAAATGAATTTGGTGGAGTGAATCACTTTACATCTGAGCTCATTTACCCCAAAGACTGAGGTGCTGAGGGAAGTGTGCCTCACCCCCTTCCGGGTTTGGGGGGCTGTGTTTATCTTTTGTTCTTACTGCATCTTCTCAAGACATTTCCCTTTTACAAAAGGTAATTGATACTAATCGATTAAATGATACTGGGATGCTAACCGCTGGGTCAATCAATGATATAGGAGAGGCGCTAACTGCAATGGACAATTGATACTGGTGAGAATACACAGACACGGAGGCTGGAACCAACAGCAATAGAAACCCCCCCCCCCCAACATCTCAGGAGCATCCTTAGAATCCGAAGGAGAAGACGAAGCTAGCTAGCCCTCTGCAGACAAGGCCAACCTGTCCAGAATATAGTTCAGAGACGGGAAGGACCTTAGAACATGGAATGTCAGAGCCGGGAGGAGTGCCTTAGAACACATGCCAGATGGAAGAGTACTTAGAACACAGGGCTAAGGGGGACGTTAGATCACAGAAAACCAGAGCTGAGAGGGACATTGGTACCAAAAAGGTCAGCGGTGAGAGGGGCTCTAGAGCACTGAATGCCAGAGCTAGAAGTGTCTTTAAAGACCATCCAGTCCACCCCTCCGATCCCACACGTCGCAGAGGACGACATGCTCCCACAGAGGGGAAGTGACTCCTTCAGAGAGCTCGCGGCCAGCCCCAACACTCCCAGTTCAATCACTGATTTTTCCCCACCCCACACTTCTGCCCATGAAGAACCTGCCCTCCCAAGTGGGCATTTCTGAGTCATGCATGAACCCCAGAGTGACATCTTTCCCCCGCTCCTGCTGAGAATCTGGGGACCACCCAACCCCTTCCCACCAGAAGCACCGGGAGAGCTCTCCTTCGCTGTCCCTTGGCCCCAACAAACAAACCTCTTCCCTCTTCCTCCCTCCACCACCCCCACTACCACCTCCTCCTCATAATGCCAGTTTATTTAGGCAAAGGAAGAAGAAGACAATAGCAGTTTATGCCGAGGTAAGCAGGTGCATTCAAACAGTCTGTCTCTCCTCTGTCAGCATTACACCATCATTAGCTAGTGTCTGCTCAGCAGGGTGTACCATTATGTCTCCCACGGCTGATGTAATTATACATTGACATAATTAACCCAGCAAGCCCATTAGGCAGGCCAGCTAAAAATTCATCTATAATTATTTGTTGTGTGCATGCTAATGAGTCCATCTGCACCGCCATTGTACAACACAGAACAAATTAATTTACAAGTCTGGATTTTTTAATAAGTTCAAGAAAATGCTGTCTATTGTGTTGGGTTTCTCGAAAAAATGCCAAGAAGGGTCCAGGGTCAGGGAAGTCAGACCGACATGAGAGCAGCTGAGGGTGCTGGGGTCCCAGGACTGGCTTGTGGGGGACCTGCCCTGATTCTGGGATGAGTGGAGAGGAAAAATCCAGCTCTGGCATGGCAAGGGGAAGGAGCCCAGCCCAGCACCCAGCCTATCCAAGTATCAATGCAGGATAATTACATGCAATGGTAATAAAGGATGGCATCCACTCATGGGTAGGTGAATTACAGTATTGATGCTGCATTGTGCTTGAACGCTATAATTGTTTGGGTCACTGTGATTCCTTCCCCCTTCAATCCTGGAAACTCTCTTGTTACAAGGCTCCTACACGGGGTTACCGAGGGTGGGTCAGGTCAGGGCCTGGAGACCTTGGAGGACAGTAAGTGGAGTTTTGAGAAGGCTTTACAATTTTTGAAACCTCGTGTTTTTTGTTTACGGTGGCGAATCTCTGCATTTATTCACCCTCTCCTTGGCCCCGACACCTCAGAAGAAGCACTCTTCGTGAACTCAATGAAGATGGCATTTGAGGAACTAGTCAACACAGGTTGACTAGCATAATGCTTGGTATACAGTATGTGCTTAATAAGTGCTTTCTTGCTTCATTAGCCTAGGTTCAAATTCTAACTCTGATGTGACCTTGGGCAGACTGTTTCATTTCCCCGGTGCCTCAGTTTCTTCATCTACAAAATGAGCGCGTTGGATTGTAGGCTTCTCAGAGGTCCCAATCCAATCTGTTTTCAAGTCTTGTCAATTCTGCCATCAAAGCGTATCTTGAATACACTCCCTTCTCTCCTCTGACCCTGCCCCCACCCTGGCCCTCATCACTTCATGCCTGGACTATTGCAATAGCCTGCTTGGGAGGGGAGAAGGTCTGCCTGCCTCCAGTCTCTCCCCCCTCCAACCCATGTCCCACTCAGCTCTCAAAATTCCTAAGGTGCAGGTCTGATCATGTCACCCCACATTCCTCTGCTCAATAAACTCCAATGTCTTCCTATTTATTACTTCCCAGATCAAATATAAAATTGTTTATTTGGCTTTGAAAGCCCTTTCTGGTCTTCTTACACCTTTCTTCTCTTCACTTACTCTTCATTCCAGCGTCACTGGCCTCCTGGCCGTTCCTCCCACGGGACACTCATCTCCTGACTGTCCCCCATGCCTGGAATGCTCTTCCTCCTCATTTCCACCTCCTGGCCTCCTTCAAGTCTCAGCTAAAACCCTGCCTTTCCTGATCCCACCACTACCAACGCCTTCCTTTGGAGATGACTCCCAATTGAACCTGTCTCCATCTTGTTTGTACATAGTTGTTTCCACATTATCTCCCCCATCCGACTGGGAGCTCCTTGAGGTCAGGGACTGTCTTTGGCCTTTGTACTTAGCCCCGTGCTGGATGACTGACTGTCTGACCTAGGACTCAATGGGATGAAATGTTGGTGAGATCCAACCCCCATCTCAGCCTCTCCAGGGAGAGGGGAGAAGTGGCAGACTCACTTTGTTTTTTCAGTTGGACTAATTAACTTAGTACACAAACTTAGATTAGTTAGATTCACAAACTGCTCAAGCTATCTCATTTTACAGATGAAGAAACTGAGGCTGTCAGGGGTCATAAGATCAAAGTCTCACATTTATGAGCCTGCTGGGATGATGGCCAAGGGTTGTTTCATTGTGTGCTGCCAGAGGACCTGGAGGCAGGCATGGAACACTGAGGCACCTCAGCGTCTGGAGTCAGGGAGGCCTGAGTTCAAATCCAGCCTCAGACACTTACTAGTTGTGTGGCCCTGGCCAAGGCATCTCAGTCTGCCTGAGTTTCCCCATCTGTAAAATGGGGATAAAAATAACACCCATCTCCCAGGTTTGTTGTAAGGATCAAATGAGATAATGATTGTAAAGTGCTTAGCACAGCGCTCTGGTACATAGTAAGTGCATAATAATTGCTTGGCCATCTTGGCTGCTCTCCTCTGGATACCATAAAAGCCTATCAATGTCATTCCTAAAACACAGTGCCCAGGACTGAATAGACTACTCCACCTGTGGTCTGACCAGAGCAGAGAATGAGCAGGACTTTCACAATATCGCTACAAATAAGCTTTCTGAGCTTAAGTGACTTAGCCAAGGTCACACAGAAAGTTGACAAGACCATAACTCTAGATTAGATTACAAGCTCCTTGAGGGCAGGGATTGTCTTTTTTGCCTTTCTTTGCATACCCAGTGCTTGGCACAGTGCCTAGAATATAGTAGGCACTTAATAAATGTTTACTGTCTGCCTGACTTGCCCAAGGTCACACAAATAGTAAATTTCAGGGCTGGGATTTGAACTTGGTTCCTGGGACCCAGTAAGCTATCTTGGGTTTGGCCCAGTATCCCAGGCCAGCTGTTTTGAGTAGGCTGTTCATTCTCTATCTGTTCTGGAAGCCTTCTGGAGTCTTCCTGGGTCCCTAGGGCCTGGGGCAGAGAAGTTTTGTGTCTCTCGCCTAAGATGACACGGGAAAGCTTTCTGTAACAGGGTTGTGCTGATCTGTAAAAAGGGAGACCCACGAAATTACTGGCCAGTTAGCTTCATTTCAATCCTGGGTAAAATATTAGGACAAATAACGAGGCAATTGATGGGCAAACACTTAGAGGAGAAACAATATAATGAGCGATTATCAAAGCCAGTTCATAAAATACACATTGGGCCTGACAAACCCAATAGCCTGCCCTGACAAAATTATAGGTTTGGTGGACGACGGGAAGCAGACGCTTCATCGGCCTTGACTCTGCATACATCCTAGCATGGGAAATCCATAGGTGAATAACAATAACAGGTTAATATAACAATAATAAGAATAATGAAATGACCCTGGTACAATAATAGCTTTCTGAAGGTCTGCATTTCCATAGCATCTGAAGGTCTGCAAAGTG